AAAAGAAAATAGTTATTTTAAATTAGAATAATATTTTGCATTATTACTGTTTTTACTGGATCAAATAAATAGAGCCTTGGTGAGGATAAGACTTTCAAAAACATTAAATCACTTCAAGAACCCCAGACATTTGAATGTTATATACTGTATATATTTGTAGTTTCAAATAGCAAAGACATATTTTTTAAGAGTGTCCTCACCTGTGAAAACAGTTCCATCGCTTGTTAAGACAGCTGCTCCAACTCTGAACTTGCTGTAGGGACAATACGCCTGTTCTTTGGCTTCTTGAGATTTCCGAACAAGCACTTCTGTGCTCCAGCTATTCATAATACTGCTGACTGGAGACTCTGTTCTGACAGCCAGGCACTTCATGGCTTCAAGTCACAAGTTAATGTGTGTGTGTGTGTGTGTGTGTGTGTGTGTGTGCGCGCGTGCGTATCTGTGTGTGACTAAGGAGGAAATCAGTGATGCAATGACTCTTTGACACTTAGCATGGAGTAATTTGGTGCAGCAATGTCAAAATTCCCATTTACTTAATAATTCATATAGATGACAAGGTGTGAAATTCCACGAACAGGATTGTGCATTGCAGCGTTCTGACAATCATTAGACAGAGCACCGTCAACATAATGAACAAAACATTTTCACTTACCTAAATGTGGTCTAAACATTTATTCTCACGAGTACTAGAAAATATTTAATTGAGGTAATGCACAAATTGCAAGTAACCAGACGGATGAGTAAAGATCATTCTGTTTACCCAGTCCAGAGTTCAGAGACTCATATGACAATAATAAAGAGGCAGGTAAGAGCTTGTTGTAAACTTTATGTATTTAAACTGTGACAGTTCCATCAATCTTACTGACAGCTAGATTTCTTCCAGGACATTCCATCAAACAGATGCATCCTGGGATGCTTTTTAAATCATATTGAAGGACTTTTCTATCTTTTCCAACATTTAGAAAAACTACATAGAATAGAGTTTTCTAAAGAAATTCATATTGGCACAGTTTATATTTATCTTCAAAACTAATTTCAAGCATTCGTGTGAATATATATATATATAGTGAAAATAGGCTTGGACATAAGATAAAAAATACAATAAAGTTAAAGTATTTAATGCTTTTAGAGTCCAAAATATGCATGTTAATCTATAATTATCGATTCTCTGGATGCAATAACGTGAAAGCATCAGTACTTGAAGCAGGATTTATTGCCAAAGTACACCTTTTCCTTAATTCTGATTGAAGGAAAGCCCTCCCACATTCAGTTGAACCTATATTTCAGCTGTCAGAGTTGATGATCCAGTCGATCCAGCGGCTGTAGTTTCTCACTTTTGTGTAGACTCCAGGATAGTACGGAAGAGCACAGCCGATTCCCCAAGACACAATGCCTTCTAAAGTCCCATCACAAATGAGAGGACCGCCTGAATCGCCCTGTGAAAGAAGAAAGATCAATGTATTTCACATGTTTTTATTTAATAAATTTTTCTCCATCACAAATGACATTATCCTTATAAAAATGGAACAAAAACAGATTATTTTTTACATTACATTTTTTTCTGTTTTCCATTCTTCAAAGGGAAATCTTAAAAGCATTTTTAAACACTGATACCGAAACCATCTGGACACTCTCGTTACCTGCAAAGCTGTAAATATTACCTATTGTGTAACTAAATTAAGTTATCTCACCTTGATTTACACTAACATAAAGAGGCTGAACATAAAGCCCTGAAAAGCTGTGCCATATCTGAGTATATCTAATGTCTCCATGAATTGTCATCAATGGACCGCACCCTTATTCCCAGAACGCCTTATGTCCAGAAAACCCTTTGGCAGGACCCTTGGGAGGGTTTGTTTGGCACCATAAATTAGGGAAATGGCAGACTGCCATGAAAATACAGGTGTGTTTGAGGGGTCAAACTAAACTCTGAACAACTTTAAACAACCCAGCTTATAGTTTGTATATTTCATAAAGTGTCTCTAAACAGGCGTGGGCCAAAATAATGATATAAAAGATCCAATAAAGTTAATTTAAGTATTTAATGTTTTTTAGTGTCCAAAATATGCATCTATAAGATTCTGGATGCGATAATGTGCATGCATCAGTACTTGGAAGTAGAATTTATTGCACCAATTAAAACTCCCAAAATAATGATTGTTTATTATTAATAATTATTTTCTTAAGTAACATCAGTTTCTTTTTGTGCACTAAAAATGGCATAGAAATAAATTAAGTACATTTCACAAACAATTACAAAGAAACACCAAGTAACACAATGAATTAATCATGAAATATATAGAAATCATAGAAAATCTGATCTTTTTTCCAACAGTTGGGTTCCAGAAGTAAAACTCTCAAGTACAAGCTCGAGTACAACTTTTAGCGGACTTGGACTTGTCACGGACTCTGATGCATATTTGCGAAAAATATTTCAGAGTCCAACCCAGCTCAGGGCCATTTGACAGTCACTGACCGGATGCACTATCACAAAAGTTACATTCAGTATTCGCATGTGTTTTTAAGTCTTGCGAGTACTTAAAAGCAGCCAGGTTTATGTGCGCACCATAGACTGTATAAAAACATGGATGTAGTGTCCGTGACGTCACCCGTAGATTTCCGAAGAGCATTTTTGAAGCTCAAAGTGGGCGGAGCGGGCCGTCGCCATCTTGGCAGTGCGTCACTGCGTGTCACTCTCGGATAATCGAAAATGGGCAAAGAGGCGGGACGAGGGTGGAGGGTGGTTGCTGAAACCACGCCTGCCTAGCTCGACGGTGGTGACAGCAGCGGCAATCCACCTGTCAC